CCCCCCCCCCAGCAGAAATTATTTTTTAAAATAAAGCAATTATACAAGAATTAATAAGTATCATTATTATTAAAATTGATTATTACAGCACATATTTGTCAACTATTATTAATTATTTTTATTTTGGAATCACCAAAATATCCAATAGACTCTATAGCGGATTGATACACGAATAAGCCATGACTTACCATCAATAATATCCATGGCGAAATACCCCTGATTTTTTTGAAGCTTGTTAAGCTACCTCGACGATATAGGGTGGAAAGAGAATGTATGCCGTGGAATGCATTTACTGGAGTTGTGTGTATGACTGACACGGAGCTTTGTCTTTAAAAATAACAATGAAGGGTTTGTTAAGCGATTTCGGCTCATAACCGCATTTGCTCCCTACACGACAAATAAAACGCAACACCTTTGAATCCGCCTGAGTGTGCAGGAGATTTTCTTGTTCAGCCATAATAGTACTGTCTACTCCACAAATCCAAGGTTAAAAAAAAACATTTCAAATCTGTGGCATTTAAATAGTTAATTACGTTATTTATCTACTATCTTTTTCGTCAATGAAGGAAGGAAATAAAAATAGTGAAACCTTTTCCTATGAACCTTCATTTATTTTCAATATTTAATGAATGGGGTTGTTTTTTTCCAGTTTCGGGGTGTGCCATAGACTCACCTCCACGTGGTTAACCCTGAGCAACGTATACTTATACGGCAAAAGAGTCTATTAACCGGCAGTTGACTTTTGACTTCAAACTATCATCACCGCACTGTATGTCATATTCGGCCCCTTTCACAGTACTCATCTTACCTTTACTCTGCCTTTGTATCTGCCTGTCCCTTTTACATCTTTGAATCATTATTCTGTCCCCCCATCACCCATCTCGACTTTTTTCAATTTGATGTTTCTCCTCCTCTCTGCGAAGTCTGAAGTCAGCTGAGGGCCTAATGATAACTGTCAAAACGCCCTCCATTTGAAAAAAAAATAAATATTCTCCTTATTTTGCATTTTTAAATTTCAGGTAGCAGTACTTTCATTAGTTAATTTACAAATAAAAATCTGAAAAGTGAAGGCTTTTGCAGGATTTAAATTTTATGTCCAAGCATTGAAGGGTATTTTGCACTGTGCAAATAGCTGAAATGGCGTTTAGCCTTCCAGTAGTGCGGTGCACGCAGTCCAGCAGTCTATCACCGCTGTGGATGGTTGTGTAAGGAAAAACTGAGAAAAACTCCTCTCGAATAGAGTTTGATTAGCCTTAGGCGTTCCACCAATTGTAAAACGAGCAACTTGGGCAATTTCTACCAGGGGCCTGAACACCACGACCAGATGAGATGACTCATTGGAAGGAGTTGAAGGAAGCGGTCTTTCAAGAAATTAAGAGAGTGTAAATTTCATTTTATTGGGCCACTGCAAAATACTAGCTATATAGCAACTTATATTCTTTCACTAAGCGAATATATACGTCAGTGTAGTTAAAAATTCACCAACCAATGATCTGAGAGAACGTGTACATTATTACTTAGCATAGCCAATTAGCACAAAAGAGAATGTATGCAAAAAAATTTTTTCCCCGCTTGGTCGATTACGCCTCTATCACACTTTAATTTTTAAGCAATTTCACACTGATCTCAACGTATTCCCAGCTAGTTATCTTAGTATCCATCAAATGCGCATAATCTTTCTCCCACCAAATGGGTTCAAACACTGATTATTTTCATTTTTTACACAGTTTTGATTCAATTTCAAATTTGACAAGTTGAAAGCGGGATGAAAGTTTATACACCTGGTCGGTCATTATTGATGTCGACATAATTGCGTCATGGTAGTTAGAAAAAGTGGAGCATATTGTGGTTATATATTTTAAATCCCTCATCAGTCATCAATTGTTCCTTGCAGAAGGAAGGGTTGTTAGAACAAATTCGGGCACTGGTGTTCTATGGACTCAGTGCAAAAAAGAAACGATTAAGACATAATTTATTAATCACCAAATAATCATATGATGAATTTCTTCCACTCAAATCAATTAAATTTCAATATGACAATGATTGTCTACAGTGAAAATCAACAGTATTGAATGAAAAATAATTCCCATTTCTAAAACTGCATCGGAGTCTGATTGTAACTGACTCTTCCTATCCTCGTGTTACTGCAAGCTTCACCTCACATCATTTGCTATATTTACAAGGATTTCTCAAACTGATAAGCGTTTACCCTTTTTTGCCCTTGTTGCAACGTTTCATATTATGTCTATAGCGATAGTAAACGCGCTTCGCTTCGCTTCTGTCTTCCACCTACAGACTGTGTCACGACCCTTTACGCCTAGGTGATAGTTAAGCGATCCGTGTATGAACGCATACGCTGAAAGTCACATACCCAGCTCCACTCACTCAAAACTGGATACGGCTTGATAAAATTGAGCAGAGTTGAATTAGGACATCAGCATTATTTAATAAACCACATAGAAAGAGAAGTCCGGAGTCATTATGGGACTTGAACTCAGGTATACTTTAAACACTTTGCCTTGTTTAATATCCCCGCCAACTCAAAGTTGCCTTTTCTAAATGGTCCAAAAAAGCGAATTTTGACTATTCACATTCACTCAAATGAATTAAAAGTCTCATAGTATAAACTAGTATTAGTTTTTATTGACTCGTTATAAATCAAGAGATGAGAAGAAAGAATAATTCGGGGGATAATATTAGAGGTTAGAAGGTAAAGTAAGGGAGGAGACAAGTTCTGCTTGTTTTTCATTTGAATAAATTGTACACTCACGCTATGTCGTAGGGAGGTGCCTATTAGCGTGAAATCAGGAAATTAAAAAGAAGACAGAGAGCAAACTTAGAGGGCGCTGAATGAAAAGAAGAGACGTATTATATATATATATATATATATATATATATATAAAGTCAAATAACAACGCGCTCAATAGTAGTTCGGGAACGGGTGGGGCACAAAAGATGGCAATTGTATTTTGCTCTCAGTAAATGCACACAAGGGGAGAGGATAAAGATGATTCCTTCAGGAATGGAGATCCCGCTTCAACTAAGCTATCGCTCCAGGAACTCCTACTCCCAGTCCGGCCTCAAGGATTTGCAAAAGAGGTAATCGATGTACCGTGCAGAGAAGAGATATCTCGCAGTTACCATGTTGACGACGCAACTGGAAGACTAAGTCATCTGCCAAATCTCTGGAGAGTGCCCGATCGGCCACAATCTGCCAGACCTGTTGACCTCCAGGTGCTACCGGTGGTCCAGGGGGTTTGTACTCTCCACCTTCTCCATCACCACCGTTTCCAGATAATCCTCCACCTGCGATAGTTAAAGGTCTACGATGGCGCTGAGCTATACTACGGGCTACTCTCAGCGCATTGGCAGCAGTAGCAGCGTCTTGTTGAGGTGTCGACGCAATGGGATTGAAACGCTCGAGAAAGGTGAGTGGGGAGAGACCGAAAGTGATGCATGTTGCCAGATGATCAATCACTGAATCGACAGGGTGACGAGATTGTTGACGCGTGGCCCGTAGGTACTTTTGGAGGGGGCGGATTAGCGTGGGGAATACTGTCTGGGCAGCCTCGTAGGGATCAAAAGACTTATTTCCGCCTCCGCTTACCAGACGACCATTGCCTAAGTTAAGAAAAAGCCATATTTTGATTTTCGGATACGTTTAATAACCACGTGATAACTATATACCCACGACCACAAGATTAGGAGAGAAAGCATTTTGGCTCATTGGACCATATGGAAAAGCAAAAAACGAATTGTTGATCAAATTTTCAGTAACAAGTTCATTTTCAAAGCGGAGAGATGCGCAATAGACTTACTACACCATGTGTGCACCCTGAGCAAGGCATATTCATACGGCAAAAAAGTCTATAAACTGGAAATTGACTTCAAAATACCATGACCCAACTGTATGTCATATTTCATCACTTCAACAGTATCCGCCTTACTCTACTCTCTAACTTTGGGTCTGCCTCTCTTTTACATCTGTGAATCACTCTCCTGTTTCCTCCCGCCCCCCCCCCCTTCGAATTTTTGTAACTTTGATGTTCCTCCTCCTCTCTGTGAAATGGCCAAAGATACCATCATAAAGCCTGCCATTTGATATAAATTTTCCAATAGGAAAATAAAGATCGTGCTTTGAGAATTAATGCCACCGGAATCCAATATGAAAAATTAGAATAAATAAATGGTAATTAGGTCATAAGATTTGGAAGGAGTCGAATAAATTTAGAAATTTCGGAAAAAAAGTGGGAAAATTGTTGAAAGCAAGTATTCGACGTATCCTGGAGGGATAACATTTTTTCAAATTAAAACCAGCCAATAGATACATTTCAAAGTCGATTTCAACTTTTATTTCAATTTGTTTAGACATTCAATAATGTTTAAGTCAGAGTTAGCTAGGTCTATAAAACACATTTTTTTCTGTATTCTCATTCCAATTCTCGTGAAGGAAGAAAACTTACTTTCGTGGGATGGAAAACGCCTATTGAAAATTTTTAATTCAATTAAATTAATGAATTTTTGATTCCCCAAAGGAATTGAGACATAGAAAAAAAAACAAATTGGGAAAGAGCACCTTATCAACTTAAACAGAAATCCTGATACATTAAAGCAGTTAAGACACGAATGAGTTTGTGTGAATTGCAAATAAAAAAGCCGTTCTCTTCATTCGCCATCATTTTGGGAGTAATAAAAGGAAATAGAAAACTCCCTGAACTGACTTTTCCCGCAGACCACGACATAGAGACAGATTTTATTACTTTGGTGTAAACGAGAGACAGGGAGGGAGGGTGGGGGGGAGGGGGGGGGGGGGGGGGGGGGGGGGGGGGGCAAAACAGGGCTGGGTGTGGATTATCTCATTGGGAATAACCTCCTACAACTAAAGGGCGTAACTATAAAAACGAAGGTTATAAAGGACTCTGCCAAGGGTATTAGGTGAGGTGTCTAATGAAAATGGTTCTTTCTTTTCTAGTTCGATTTCATTCTTTTAGAAATACTAAAAGAACGCAGAATGCGATACTCTCTGAATTTATAAAAATTACTTTAAGAAGTTGTATGTGTGTGTGCCAGTAGTGGGGAGATTATGAAATCGGTGCATAACCGATGGCATGGCTAATTCTGATCAACAAAAGTGGGAGTAGAAAGTATATTTCTTGAAAGAGCGGCTGCAGAATGCCTACCCCAAGTCAAAAAGCTTCAAAAAAGTTTTCAGAAAAGTAGACGTATCGAATAGACTATTTTATTGTTTGCATGCACATTGTAAGCCAACAATCCTCCCACTTCCAGAGGATGCAACCATGAATGCCCAAGAACTGCTCCTTAATATAGGGGAATAAGACGAACGATTGATTTGAACACGGCATTCGTAACGAGAACAGGGCATAAAAAACAGTCAATCAAGGATGTGTAGTAACAATGGCCTAAGGGAAACGAGACTGTGGTTTGATTGGATGAGAAGAAAGCACATGTTATGGTGACGTCTAGGAGAGTATTATTAAAATAAGATTACAACATACTTGCAAAAGATCAATAAAGTCTAAATGTCCAAAATGAAATAGACAATAACATACGAAAATAGTATGTTATACCAGCTCGGTTTGACGCAGTGCTTTCACTCTCCTGCGACACACCGATGGCTTAGCAATCAGCAAGATCACCTACATTCTCAGCGGTTCCAGTTCACTACTAATCTCTGTTGGTGTTTGGAGGAGATAAATACGGATTTATAGTAGACTCAAGAGAAAAATGTTGCCACGGGATTCTTGGATGTCGTTATTTATTTACCGAAATTTTTCGTCAATGCATAGTTCTAGTGATCTGGTGAAAGTAAATAAATGTTTGAGCATTGCCAACTGTCATTTAGCTGCATAAGTACCTTCGGAGATACTTAAAGTTATTGTGCTGTCACAATCTACACTTAATTGAACGCCTTGGAGGCATCGAACCTTTCATGAAATAAGGAAGTCACCATTCAGTTAATCTGCCCATATTAGACAAAAAAGTCAATGGATGGGCATGTTTAAATAGTTTTTGAAAAGAAAAACACCCGAAAATGGTGATTGGGGGCATAACATCCGGTATTATTCAACTGAATAATGAATAATTTTCAATGACAATAACTAACCTCATAAACCTTCATTCAAGATAGAAACGCTATAGGGCAAATTTTTTTTTGTTTATAGCTTATTTATGGTAATAGCAACAACGCAAATTTTAATCAATTTTATTCAATCTATTGATTAATTTTTCCATGAGTGTAAAGCTGAGTTGAGAAGATGCACATTTTCCAACTCCTTCGCTGTTTTGAATTAATAAAAATTACCTCAACCAGTTTATTTTTTGAAGAATAAGATTATATTATTACATTTTTTTAAATTTTTTAAAGAAATCATTCATATCGGTATATATAAGGGACCAAATTTACTTATAAGAGCCTTTTAAACTGATCAAATGCATTCAATGAAATGAAAAGACTCGAAGTCGATTTTGACAAAAGACAACAGAAAGAATTGTATTAGCCAAAAAAAGGTGGAAAGATACAAACAATTTAAATCATATCAAACATTTCATCCAATACAGGGAGAATATACAGTGAATGGAAAAAACGCTTCAGAGTACCAGAAGCAAATCAACATCCAGAATAAATCATGAAAGAATTAAATAAGAGAAGATAGTAAACACCAGGTAGGCAGGCAAAATGACTGAAGTTGAAAAGCCTTGTTATTTGAAATGACCCAAACTAAAAATGCACAAATAGCCCACAGATAAGTTAAAATACCTTCTGTGGGAATTTCGACTAAGTTATTTACAAGCCATTCCAGATTTAAGACGATGTACGGAACAGCCAAACCCCTCTTAAAGAAAGTTCAAATCGTGTGAAGCTATTCAAATGTAGACTTGGGCGAAATTGAGATTGAATTGGTCTTAACAGTGGGCCCAACACATGCCAGCCTCTCCCTCCCCCCCCCCCCCCCCCCCCCCCAGCCCGGCCCGGCACGCCACCCTAGAGTCATGATGAGACAACTTCAGAATCTCTCGCTTTCATGGCCAAGACCGATGAGTCATAGTACTGCGTTTGAACGTTGCGAGGCATGCACTCACGCCCCAAAAAGCACGCTGCGCACGTCATACCTTGCGCACTTTGCTTCTACGCTAGAATTGGTGTATCGATCTTGTCTTGCGCATAGGCTTAATAATTAACATGACGCGTCGCTTGCGTGTCCGTGCGACGGTATTTGTGCGCGCTCACTGCAAGCGTGCAGACGTGGTTGTGACAAGAACACAACGGTAACCAGACAGCAGTAGCAACAGCCCTGGTAGTAGAAGATAAGTGATAAATTGGGCTCCTGTTTCCCTCTCTTCAGTTCCCGTATTAACCATAATTCACACACATGAACAGGAAAATATATGGCCCACTCGAATATAACTTAGTAGTTCAATGGAGTTTTAGGGCAATTAGCAAATTCAACACCATTGTTAGCGTCTAATTAACACTAGGTGCACTACAAAAATTAAACTCAGTTTCAATCAATAGGTAAATAAATCATAGCATATGCTAATTCAACCTCTGAATTTGCTTATTTTGGTATGTGGAATTGCTGAATCACTATGGTAACCTGATGCCACTGGCCAATGCAATTTCTTGGTGCATTTTATGAATCTGGAGGAACAGCTGTGCTTGGCATCTCTATGAAATACCAAGGAGTTTATTGTTAAAGGCGTGTTTCGTAGATTCTGCAAGCTGACTGAGAATAATACTTTATCTGCTAGGGATATGCAAAAACACTTTTGTTTTATTAAAATAGGATTGTATGAAAGTGAATTCATAGCCAAGAAGTGCACCATCTTATTCTCTAAAAAGATAAGGTTTTTCCCATTTTCATGAATGCATCAGGTATTTACACATCAGTTCGTTTACATTTAACTGTAAAAATGCCTTTCAAAAAATGCTATTTACCTTCTACAAATTTTGAAATTCTAGTTTTCATGTTCAAACATTGAAAGCAATAAAGAAAAATGTTTTTTTTATTCACTTCCTTCGACGAGTAGGAGAGTTAGCCTGCACTTTGCGAATATAAAATTTGAAGCAAAGAAATAAATTTCCTTTCAACAAATTTCCACGTCTTCCCCACCCCCACCCCGCCCATTTTCGGAAAATGTTCTGAGAAGGGAAGAGAATGGAATGCGTCAGGTGTAACAGGTCTGCACGATACAGAGATTTGCACTTCGGTTTGAATAAAGAATCAAGGGGAAGCAAGTGGACTAAGGTAGGCCATGTTCACAAGAGGGAGAGAGAGAAAAAAAAGGAGATGAGAACCAGCATCAGCAAAGAACAGTTGTTCCAAGCTGAAAAGTTGACACAAACGGCCTTGTGTGCGGTTTTTATTCCTGCATAGTAACACACATGAAGAAATTTGTGAGAGAAGAAACTCCAGGTCCCACCGCCTACCACACTTTACTTCGGTATTTTAATAAGCAAATTGGCGGTTTTAACAATTCAAAGGAGGATTGTGTGCATGATCAGACTGACTTGAATTGTGGACGGTATTTACTACGAACTAGGTTATATACTGGACAACCGCTATGGCAAATAAAGAGGGGATTGACAAGAAGAACCAACCTCTTAAATTTGTGAAGTCCTAGAAGTTTTCGAAAGAAATAAAACTATTCTTATTTATTCTCGAATTCTAACCCAACTCACATCAATCACTCTAACTTTACGCTAACATTTTGTTCAAATGGAATTAACAAGTAAATCACTTGTGTCGCATTTAAAAAAGTGTTTAATTATTAATTCAAAGAAAAAGCACATCTACCATGTGGCGCACGACCCTTCAAAGGAAAAAAATGACTGCCCTTAAATGACGTCTTTTTTCCTCGATTTAGGCTCATTTGATTCAAACAGGGCGGAAGACAGCACCACACATTCTCATTCGCTGCATCAAAAGGCAATTAGGAAGAAAATTCAAACTTTTGAAGTTGAAAAGCAGTTCATTTCTACCACCCACCGAGAGGAACAACCTTTGAAGAAGAGAATTGGGCGAAATGCCTACCACCGGTGCGGAAATCTTATGATTGTATAATCAATAAGACAACAAACGTTTCAAATGCTGATTTTATATACCTAGGGAGGGAGAACTGATCATTAACAAAAGACAATTGCGAAGTGAGGAGAAAAATACATGAATTTCATTTGCTCAGGGTTTCTAAGTTGAAAAAAATAACAACACTTATAGAGTCCAATAATAAAAAGTATTTTTTTCCCAAAAAAATTGGTGATGACATTAAGAACTTTGAATTTCGCTACCAGTTTGTCTTCATCTAATGTTTCAAAATAACCAGTTTCACGTTTATATTTAACCACAACAATAGGCAAACTTTGAAGTGAATATATGAAATAAACAGTATTTACTGCGTTTAATGTTAGCATGTTAGAATTAGGTTTCAATGATAGAAACACACGAGGTACTCAGCAAACATGTTCACAAAGGAAAATGAAAAAAAAGAAAATAAGCCAGAACACGGGAATTTTCAGACGCCGTGGTCCTTGTGTGTTGGCCAAAATAGAGTTATCGGAATGACAGGCTGCTTGAAGTTACCATGAGAACGCCATACGAAGCCGGCCACAAATGAAAATGATTAATGAATCTACACTAGGCCAATATTGGTAGTTTATACTTTTCACTATGGAGAACGAAACAGCTGGGTTTATCTTGCTTATAAACAGTCGATTTTTAAAATACCATAATTGGTTTTCGTTTAGCAAAGTAATTCGTTATAATAAATATGAGTTGGCAAGTTCAATACATTAGGAAAAACTAAGAGGTCAAACAGAGGTTGGATATAGGCGCCATGACCGCGTAAGTAGTTGATTGACCAATATATTGACTGGTTGTTTACTTAAATACATAAAAATCCAAATAAGACAAGTGAGCAGAGCTCACCATTTTGAAAGCCAGAAAATCCACCAGCAGGAACGAGGGAATTTCCAATGGTGAAACCGGTTTCCTTTGCCATTCGATTAGCGTGCGCGAATGCATCTTCGACGGCGAGAAGAAGACGCATTCGACGCTTTCGAACTCGCTTCTCTGCTTCCATTTCGTCGTAGAGGCGAGCCGAAGCTGACGGACCGTTGCCACCGCCACCGCTCTATAGAAAAATACCAGAAGTGTAGCTAAATAAGCTTCTTCTGAAAATATCGCTATTTTGCGTGACTTCCTTCGACCTTCAAGATAGCAAATAGGAATCAGAGAGGAAGAAATCAAACATCACAAAACACAAAAGAAAACTACCACAAGGGTTTATTGTTAGAAGAGCTGAGACACAGATGTACAAAGATAAACACTTGAATGTGAGCTTGATAAAAGAGGAATGGAATTTGAGCAGAAATGAGCTGATTAGAAGACCAACCAACACATCCTCAACGATAAGAAAAACCCTTTGAAATGCTTCATAAACTCTTAACACATGTTAAAACAAACTAAACACATCGTCAATTTACCGGAATTCGATAGACTCTAAAACCAAAAAGTTATTTTTAAAAAAATGATTTAACAGAGTACGACTAACATTTAGTATAACGGTGCACATTAGATTGGAATTTCAAATTTGCTTTAAGGTAATTAGTTAACTAATTAATTCCCACTAGAATTAGATGGCGTGGAGTAGGATTGTTAACAGCTTTTAATTCAAAATACAGTAATCCTACTACAACTTATTATTCCCCTAATTTCAAGTTAGGGAATTCGGAAATGTGGATTTAAGCGCACATCAAGGAAGGCTGCCCCTTCAATGCTCCCCTCCCCCCCCCCCCCCCCCCCCCTCCCAATTAAGGATACCTACCTCGTTCGTCCCAGGCAATTCTTAATGAATATTGACCCAAATAAGCATGACCAATCAACCGATATCGGCACCTAGTATTAAGGAATTCATCCCTCCCCAACCCATAAAAGATCCCAATGTAGAGATTTTAAACAAAGACAGAGAATTAATGGTGGCTGTGTGTCAATAAGTGGATAGAATCCCAACAACAGACTCAGAGTTTTATTTAATTTTTCAACCAATCCGACCCTGACTTAATTAACCTTCTGAGTGATACACCTGATGGCTTATCAGTGAGATCTTAAGAGTTATATAAAAAAATGCATTAATGTCCGTTAGTTACTTCACTTTACTTATAGATTGGTAATGAAGCTTCATGCCCTCGATAGCCCCTGAAGTGAAAGCACGCTTCGACCAATAGCCCGCATTATTTTCTACGATACTTATAAGAAATAGGATAGATTCAGGAAATTGCGTTAATTCACTTACCGTTTGATTTCCACCTGGTGCTTGGGTGCCACCGTTCTTTTCCCGTCCATCCACATCGTAGAATTTGTACTTGGAGCCACCAACATCCCCACTGGCCCCACCAGGGCCCGTATTTCCATCACCACCGTGACCTCCAGCCCCGCCAACAACGCCACGTTTATTTCGACGGTTGTTTGAAGAGGAGATTGGTTGGGTGTATACCTACGAAGATGACAAAGAGACAATTGGGAGTAAAAACAATTAAGCCTATGTGCCAGTATAGGCAAAGTGCAAGCTGACAAGCTCATTGTCACTAAAAAATCAATTAGATCAACTTTTATGTCCTTCTATACAACACTGTATTATCTAGAAGTGAAGATTTAAAGATAATCACACAGACTAAGCTTCCTGCAAAAGTTCACAATATTTTAATCTTTGATTTGAAAATTCGTCTATCGATTAGAATAACAATGAGTAGACTATTTGTAACTTAGGTCACATACCATTGAATAACACCTACCATTCATGGATAGCCAAAACCTTCAAAAATTTATAAAAAGCTCTTAACTAGGATTGGGGAGATTTGAATTATGCCACCTATATCCTACAAGACAATAGGCTTCCAATATAATATTTTTACCCCCAATGACTGTGCAAAAAAACACTAGGGGTAGGATTCGAGATCTTGCTGACGAGTTGGATAAATTTTCTTCTTTCATCAAGTAAACGCTAATAATATCGTTTGTTAAGAATAAAAGAACTCGTATGAGTCCATTCACATAGTACATACTATATTGATAGTGAGGGATGTGTGATAGACTTACCTCCGCATGGTGCACCCCGGGCAACGTATACTCATATGGCAAAAATGTCTACCAATCGGTAGTTGACTTCTGACTTCAAACTACCCTCACCCCAATGTACGTCATATTCGACTACTTCCATAGTACTCACCTCACCTTTTTTCTACCTTGGTGTCTGTCTCTTTTACATCTTTGAAACACTCTTCTGTTCCCCCCCCCCCTTCGACTCTTTTTAATTTGACATATCTTCCCCTCTGTGAAGCCTGAAGTCAACTAAAGGGCTAATGATAACCATCGAGACGCATACCATTTGATATAAAAAAAATAAATTTTGATAGTAAGGTAAAGAAATGACTCATAAAATCGAAACCATATTAAAATATGTCGGAAGTAAAACTCTATTTCTGATTAAAATGTTAAGTATCAGCACAATTATGAAACCGTTTGAAAGCGTTGATAGAATTTGAAACAAAGTAACGTCACATGTGCTAATATAGACCTAGGAAACAATAGCTTAAAATCTATGAATGAAACAATTTTACTTTTCGAATTCCAGACAAAAAAATTCTTTAACAATTTTCATCCCAATGAAGCAACTGAAACCGAGAATATATGACCTATTCCAATGAGAGATCAAGAGAAGGGAATCGAAAAGAAATTGAGGACCAATTTAGGGTACAAAATGTCCGACTTCACCCGCACTAGTTAACTTAATTGATGGGAGTCGAATTGGCTATTGCTACCTAAAGCAATACCATTACTTTACAAAGGCAATTTGGTTCAAGACGTTAGTACATATAAAACTGCAGGAATTCACGAAATAACGTCAATGAGGTTGAGAAATAGGCGTAATAGATTAATATAATTAGGAAAGCAGTTGGAAATATTTAAAAGTGTAAGAACCAATAACATTTGAAATGTCATAAAATTGGCAGATATGGTGTATAATGCTACTAAAATGTGTTCTTACTTGAAGACAGTACCGTGAAAACAAGTTTGGGCGAGTGATGTATAACTTTCCATCTTTCAGTGCATTAAAGTAGGGAGGTTTGGCCTCTTCGTAACTTAACGATTGCCTTTATTTCTGCTTTCGGATTTGACTTGACACATTAGGCTCTAAATGTCCCGTTCATGGTATAAATATTTTCTCGTCAGACAGCAATGAGTGCACTCATGAATGTCCACAGAAGTTCCATCTGAGCCATTTGATTTATATATCGGCAATCATTCAAGCCACAGATAAACAACAGAGTGGGATTGTAATTTACTGCAAACTGCATACGTAAACAGTTTGTTATTCGACATGACTTTCAAGTCTAAACCGTGCAGGACTGCCTAATGGTGTTTTAGCTTTATCACTTAGAGAAAAAAGGCAAATAATAAATGAAGAACTCAAAAACAGCAAATTTCCCAAGCCTATGAGTACCAATTGGTCTATAAACTCGAAAAAAATAATCAGTCAAGCAAAATGTATAAAAATGCTATTTAATTCACACAAATTACAAAAATAAATAGTCTATTTCGTTTATAGGAAATCAACGGCATATATTCAATGAAGATTCCCATATATCAAAAAACAAAGTGGAGTTATTGCAAAGAAAGTCAATGGAGGAAACTTTTCACAGTGAATAAAAAACACCATCACAATTTCATGTGATAGGGCGAAAAAAAGTTTCCAATTCTGAAATACAGTTTCAAATACATGGTGGCTAATCGATTTAAGATAGTTTTAGGCGATTTTCAGTATGAATAGAAAAGCAAAGAAAGCTTACTGTAAAGTCCACCATATACATCTGCAGAATTTCCAGGGCCGCCTTCTGGAGCGACATATCTCCAAGTCGATAAGTTTTTGATGCCCCATCTGGAGACCTAACAACGTGGACAGCAAATTGTGATCTCATCCTCTGGAATTCCAATAAAGCAATCCCCGAAAAATTCAAAAACAACAGAGCATCCGACAGACTGTTAGAGAAGAGAACAATGGACCCATAATCCCTTCTCCTTGGCTGTAATATCCGCACACTATAGAATAGCCAAAAGGCAAAAAGAATTACGAATATGAGGCAGAGAAAGAGGCTCCTCCATAACCTGACTCGTGGATAAACTTTTCGAGTACCGCTCAGAATCGAACAATGCGGTGCCGTGAGAATCCACGTTCCAAGAGCTAGGAGAGCCAATTTTACAGCCATTCCAATTAAATGTCCCTCACAAGTATGATCACATTTGTCTGTACTCCAGCCCAAATAGGGCAAATGGGGGAAAATCACCATTAGAACTGGGGAACAGATGGAACAAAAGCCAAGACCGAAATATAACATAAATCCAAAAAGCCTGGAACAAGTGTGACTAGGAAAATCATCGATTTCGGTGCGAATTAAAGCAGCTGCTGCTCCACCAACACAAGAGTTGGGGCTATTATTGATCCCCAGGGATGCTAAGAGGCCATATCTAGCCCCAAATCGGGATATATTATCTGCACTAAGACCGGTCTCACTAGTTGCCCCAGTTACAGCGGTAGCATTTTCAACCCAGGCGTTTTCATCGTGTCCATATTGATCCATTTGTTGATTGCCACCTCGATTACTTGAGGCTGGGGTATGGACATGAGACATCTTTGTGGCAACAACACCACTACTATCCATGGGAAGAAGAGGTTGGTTGGATTGACTTTGAGGATAGGATTGATTTGAAGAGGGAGCTAGGGGCTGCATAGGGAAAGCGCCTGGCTGTTGGCAACCAGGGATGGGGGACGGACCCGTCCATCCCATTAGATTCATGCATTGTGAAGGAGAAAACATGGATGGCGAATTATACGGAAGGAAAGGCGGGTTTGTTGGCTGAGAGGCATTCCAATTGGGATTATAGCCAGGATGTTGAGAAACGGCTGGACCCTGGAGAGGATACATTGGCGGAGCCTGACCTATAGACATTCCACGATTTTGCATTTCGGCATGAATATCGCTTGGATAGGTACAAGGAGGAGGCATGTGCTGGGTAAAGTTTATTTGTTGTCTAGAATCAGGACTTTGAACTGGAAAGTTCTGCATAACAGATTGCTGCTGTTGCTGGTTAGCACCGCTCTTCTCGCTTCGATTACTAACAACACTATCCTGATCCATTAATGAATACTTCTGACATCAAAAATAGAAATAAAAGACCTTAGACGAATAATTTTACGCAACAATAAATCAACTCCGCATGTATTTCAAGCGATCAAAATTCCCAGAACACCAAGAAAGGTAGAAATCCATTGTACCAAAACATCGCCAATACGGCAGTATTAATAATCTAACAGGTTAAAACAAGGTATATTTCATTTAATGATTAAAAATATGCATGATTAATCGATTTACTATAATTTATTTGTTATCGGTAATTAAATAGATTTTCCTGTATTCTATAAAAATTTTAATCAGAAGAAATATAACATTATACTAATCATTATAATAACCAAATATAGAAAAGTTAATTTTTTACTAAAAATATTAATCTTTAGTTTACGATATAGTAAGTGTTTAAATGCTTGGCACATGTTCCCAGTTCATTTAATATGTCTGTTAGGAGGGCTAGCCACAAGAACAGCTGGTATTCCGGCAATAGTGAGTTATGCTTTTTTAACTTATGATTTTAGGGGACGAATTGGAGCAACAACTTTCTGGTTGGCTTTCGAATGCTTCTTACGCTCAGGGTCCGGCAAGAGCAATAATAACTCCGTAGGTATTCTTTTAAATTAATTTTTAGTCATGCTGGTTATTTCTACTCTGGAGAATGCGCTTCTTATGCTTACAAGCAAATAAACCCAGCTCTAGTGTAAGGTTTTGCTGTTATTTATCCTCGCAATATTTAGAAAACGGATTTTTGTTCTGGGTCCTTCTCACAATTTCTACTTGGACAATTGCGCTATCTCCGATGCAGATATTTTTGAAACACCTTTTTACGATATGCATATTGACGCTGATGGTAAATTGAACACGATCTTCGTGATGTTTATTTGCTTTATTTAGTTCGAAAAGGATTGTTGGCCTCAAATATGTTTATGAATCTTGATATTGGACGAGATGAAGATGAACATTCATTGGAAATGCAGTATCCATATCTCGCAAAAGTTATGGAGTCGTAGGTTCAGCTATTTACTATCTTATTTCGGTTTATTTCTCTGTACCCATGCCCTTGTCTTTATTAATCAATGATTGAGTATTGCATTTGTGAGGTATCATAAGCCTTGCGTAGAATGACGATTGCTTCCATAGATTTCTTGTCTAAAGTTAATTTTCACCATATCATTGTGAAAACACCTTAGGAATCGTACTTCATGTCTTGATTATAATCAATTGTTTCATTTGCTTTCTTGCCTTGACTTTAACCTTTTTGCTCTCATAAACTTCAAATAGAGGAAATCATATTGAACTTTTTGTTGAAACTTGACGTTTAAGTGAGTTCTTCGCATTTCTTTTCTCTGTTCACGAGGTTTGCGTTTTATCGCCTGCTCTTATTACCATGTTGCTACGGTGATATTAGTCCCTCTAAATCTGAGCTTCGTGTTTATGCTATTATGGTGCTTTCACTTCCTCTTTTAGACGGGCTAATGACTTTACTATCATCCCCATTGTGGTGGGCAATTTGTCTTTCTCCAACGAAAAAGCCTACGGCGAATTGTTGGCGCCTTATCTTGCTGATCCCTCTAACCTCTTTGTCATTTCATCCGATTTCTGCCATTGGGGTAAGGTATTTTTCTTGCAATTTTTTTCCATTTAGTTGCGTTGAGACTTATGCGCTGTTGTTTTGCCTTTTTTCGTTGCAGGTAGCCGCTTCAGATACACATACTATGATAAAACCGCTGGCGAAATATGGGAATCAATAAAAGATCTCGATCATAAAGTGAGTATTTCGTAACTTTATTCTTTAAGATTCCGCTCATTTAATCCATAGTTGCTAATTAAACACGTGGGTATTTGTTAGTAAGTCCATTCATTTTAGCAGTCATTATATTTTACTTTAAACTGTACTGCCTTTCATTGTAAACTTTATAAGGTGCTCCCTGTATTCACTTATTGATTCGACACTGATGTCTTCTAATTGGCTACACACAAATATTCTTCTCAGCTAAATTCTGTGTTCTGCTCCTCGTTTCATTACCTGTAATCGACTCTTAATGAAAAATGTCTTTGATTCGCACTAGGCAATTAAGGCTTCATTCTTTTAAATAATGTGTTCATCGCATTCATTTTCTAGCTCTAAAGTTTGAAATTACTCTAACTATTTATTTGTCCAAAAATGAGCGACTGAAAATTATGTTTCACTGGGATGTTCGTCACCCTCGACTTGGTCAAGGGGCTCACTAATGATCTAAATAATTTATTGATTATGGTAAATACAATTGTATGATTGTGGATTTGTTGAGTTATATCATTCATAGCCCATTTTATTGTCATAAGCAGTCTCAGTTATTTGAACTTTCTTTCTTTTGCATGGAAATGTAACTCTCCATGTCTCTCCAACTTTGCAGTTTTTGTAAATGTCACTGAAACTATTCATCATACGCATTCGCCGAAACTAAACACCCCCCCCCCTTTTCCCTTACTTCTTATCTTTATGGAATACATCTTTATCTCTTGGGGCTTGGAAGCTTATTCTTCTAGTACGTGCGTCGGTGCAGCCTTGATCACGGAGGTCACGGGTTTGACTCCATCGGTACACACCACGTAACCCGAATGGCCCACCACGCTAGTTAAGTGTGGTTTGTATATGGAGTAACAAAATTACGGTCTCTCACGAGGTTTACAGAATGCTTTCCTAACTAGTCGTGTTAAACATTATTTCTCATTCCAATAGACTTATCATCTCCTTTACGAAGTGGTTTATAGGCATCACACTTAAGTAACTATCGCTGAATATGGTTAGCGCTTCCGTTATCTAATTACAAACGCTGGCTACAGAAAGGTGGAAGGGGGCTATTAATATTCCAGCCCGAGTTTAGGGGTCGGTAGAAACAGGAAAATACTTGTCAGGTAAATCAGAAAAGTGACTGTTTTGGAAGTTATTTAGCAAAAGCAGCATGGACAGCCATCATTTGTCCAAAATTAACAATGGAACAAAATACGAGTTTTATAAACCGCGCATGTAAATTTAGAAGGTTATTGTAAATCAACGGATCACAATCATGCATACTTGGCATGTTTAATTGTCTCCATTTTAGGGCATGGAGCTGATTGAACGTTTGGATGCAAAGGGCTTTAACGATTACCTGCGCGAATACGGCAACACAATTTGCGGACGCCATCCAATTGGAGTACTCCTTCAAGCAATAAATGCTTTACAGAAGAGCAACAGTCGCTTGAATCCTAGCCTCAAATTTGTGCAGTATGCCCAATCAAGCAAGTGTCGCAATGTGCACGATTCTTCGGTGAGCTATGCTGCTGCTTCTTTGGTCTTTAATTAGACCACCTCAGGCGATCGGTCAAACAGTGTATTCGTGTTCTAAAGTCTCTTCTTTCGTTTCTCTTCCTCCTATTGACACTGTATGAATAGTTTCCTGAATGTCATCTGCCCTCCCCCCTCTCCCTCCTATTCATATGCTTTATGTAGCTGCTTCCCCCCGTTCTATTTCATTGCAAGGACCTTCATTTAAATGACCGATTTGTATGGTGAAATCGTAATCTAAAAGCCTCATGTTTCTAATGCATCTTCTGGGGG